GATAATCTAAACTTCACAACCCTTCAAATTACAAAGGTGAAAGATATAGAGAGTTGTGAAAGGTGGATTTACTAATTTTGTAGTCTATTTTTTTTAAAAAGTTACTTTTTTTAGGTAATTTTGTAAATATTACTATAAGACAAGGGATACTTTTAAGTCCCAGTAAGTTTTCAGACTACTTCCAACCACGTCCTTTTGGGCCTACCCCTTGCTCTTTCTAGTCATTCCACCTTAACTAACTCACACCTCCTTGTACTTGGTCGACACTACACGTGGCTAGCCTACCTAAGTCTACTCTCTCATTTTATCGCCTTTTAGTGCCACGCCTAAATTCTCTCGAATAGAAACATTTGGAATTCTATTCCTTCTTGTCTTGCCACTCATCCATCTCAATATCCTCATCTCCGCTACACTCATTCTATTGGGTATATTGTTTTTTGTCTGCTCAACATTCCACCCCATAGAGCAAAGTTGGTCTCACCGCTGTCCTATTGACCTTGCCTTTCAGCCTTATTGGTATGCGACGATCACATAAAATTCCAGTTGCACATCTCCACTTTACCTACCCAGCTCCAATTCTGTGTGCGACATCGTCCTCGATCTCTCCATTTTTTTGGATTATCGACCCAAGATATCGAAAGTGCGGTCTTTTTTATTCTTCCTGACCGTCAATCTTGACTACTTCCTCATTTATACTCCTATTATTACTAAACTTGCATTCGTATACTTGTCAGTTCAACTAATTTTAAAACCTTTGGATTGTAGAGCATCCCTCCAAAGTTTTAACTTTGTGTTGACACCGTTTTGGGTCTCGTCAATCAAAACTGTCATTTACGAATGACATGCACTACTGTACCTCATCCTGTAGGTGCTGGTTAAGTCGTCCATAACTAAGACAGAGGTACGGGTTTAATGTGACCCTTGATGTAGACCTATTATCACTGAAAACTCACTCGTCTCTCTATTAGTTGTTCGTACACTAGTTAACCTCCATTATACGTTTCTCTCACCAAGTCGATAGTGTTTAGAGATGCTTTTCTTTTCCAACACATGCCAAATCAAATCTAGAGGTATTCTATCATAAGCTTTCTCTAGATCAATAAAAACCATGTGGAGGTCTTTTCCCTTTGCCCTAAACTTCTCAATCAGTTGCTTAAGTAGGAAAATAGCCTCAGATGTTGACATTCCTTGAATAAAACCAAATTGGTTTTTAGATACACTCGTTCCATGCCTTAGTTGTTGCTCAATGACTCTCTCTCAGAGCTTCATATTATGGCTCATATGCTTGATTCCTCGATAGTTTGCACGATTCTGTATGTCTCCTTTGTTCTTGTAAATAGGTACCACAATACTTTTCCTCCATTTATTTGGCATTTTCTTTGTTCTCAACCCTTTGTTGAACAACTTCATCAGACGGTTAATGCTAATTTCCCACATGCACTTCCAAACCTTTATCGGGATATCATCTGATCCTAAAGCCTTTCCTATGTTCATCATTTTCAAAACTTCTTTCACTTTTGACATCCTAATCCTACGAATGTATTTATGGCCTCCGCCGTCGCTTGTACCAACAGTCCCTTCTACCACTATGTTCCCATTGTGTTCGTCAAGATGCATAGATATGGAGAGGAAAAGAGATTTCAAGTCTTAAAAATATTACATCTTGCAACACATTATTTGGACCGTCCATTTTCAAGATTTTTATAAGTATATAGATCTGATAGTTTTGAATCATTTTTGAAATTTAAAATTCTATATTTGTAGATAAAAATAGATTCTCGCACCATCCTAAAATTTTGGACAACAAAAGTGCATCTCATAGACAAAGTTTGGAGGTGCACCTTACTTTGATTTTTTAAGGTTGCAACCTTATGCAAACCACACCTATAAAGAAAAAAATGATTTTGAGTTTATAAAGGCTAAGATCTTGAAATTCACAAAATGAATGGTCTAGATTCATTTTTGGAGTGGACTCATTTTGACCATATCTAGGGATAGAGTCAGACAACCCAAGTACTAAGGTGGTCTAGGAATCAGAGATCTTAGAAAACACAATATGGCCTTGATGGAGAAATGGTGGTGGACGTTGGCCACCTAACCAAACTCTCTTTGGGCACAGGTTATTCGGAACAAATATAAGTTTCTGGACCACACATGGGTGCCTCACATGACTTCCCGTAGGAGCTTGGAAATCCTTCACTTATTCACTTGCTATGTTCAAGCAATCACTACGCTTCCATCCAAAAGAAGGTAATAGAGTGCGCTTTTGGTCTGATCTTTGGATTGGACATGCCCCCTTAGGGACTTATTCCCCAACCTCTTTGAGCTTGCCTCCAACAAAGAGTCCACCATTGCAGATGAAATGGTCCTTAAAGGGGGGCGCAGAACTTGGAATCCCTCTTTTAGAAGGAACCTCACAGAGGAGGAAACTTCAACTTTCTCCATCCTCTCGGCTGCTCTTGGCCCAATGTTCTTACCTTCTTCAGGGATTGACTCTCTAGTATGGACTCTATCGCCATCTGGTAAGTATTCAGTAGCTTCTTTCTACAAGAAACTTACCCAACCGCCTACCTACCCGTTAAATCCCATCTCTCCTCTCTCCAATGTTTGGAAAACTATAGCTCCCCCAAAAGTTCAAACCTTCAATTGGATTGCCTGCTGTCAACGGGCTCTCACGCTTGATCAGCTTCAAAAGAGAGGCCTGCCGCTCCCAAACAGATGCATAATGTGCCTAGTTGAGGAGTCAAACCCTCACCTCTTTCTACATTGTAATATGGCCTTTGAACTATGGACTCTTATCCTCCACTTGTTTGGTCTCCAGTGGGTCATTCCATCTTCGGTTAAGGAACTTTTCATTTATCACTCAGGTGGTCTTTTGCCCAAAGCAAGTAGAATCTTGTGGAAGGCAGCAATCGCTGCTACCATTTGTGTCCTATGGCTAGAAAGAAACGAGAGGGACTTTCAAGGACACAGAAATGAGGCTTCAGTGCTCTTTGACAAGGTTACAACCCTTGTAACTTTTTGGGCTTCCACCCAAAGTTTCTTTGGTGGGATTCCCAAGAATACCTTTCTCAGGCAGTGGGAGAACAATATCCAACTTCAACCTCTCAAGGTACATAGGCCTCACAATTGGAAGCCTCCCCCAGAAAATGCCATAAAGCTCAATTTCGATGGTTGCTCGTTAGGGAACTTGGGCCTAACAGGAGTTGGGGGGGTCTTCCGTGACTACAACCGCAATGTCCTCATGACATATTTCGAATTTGTCGGACATGGAGATTCTCAGTTTGCCGAAGCCTTGGCACTCCTTATGGGCCTAAAAAAATTCAACTCATCTTGGGGTCAACCTTTAGTGGTGGAAGGAGACGCTCAAAATATTGTATCTTGGGCAGCAGGCACCGCTACCCCCTCTTGGTATCTATCAAGGATTTTTGACGAAATTTACAACATATGCAGGGATACCAACGTCTATTAGAGGCATACTTGGCGAACGTCGAACGCGTTCGCCGACTTTCTGGCTAAAAAAGGAGCTCGACGACGATCATCTTAAAGACCTTGACTGGTCCATCTTCTTTTTTGCTCTGGACCACAGAGGTTTCTTAGGACACTAGACAATTTTTTGCTCCTTCTTGTATTTGGACGTTCTTTTAAGCCCCATTTTTTGAAAGCTCAAACTTTTGTAATCAGCCACTTCAAGAGGCTAAATTTTTGTATATCAGTGGACCAATTTTTTTGACTGAGATATCCGTCTCGTGGGTATCCTGGTCCTTTTCTCCCGCTCTATTCTGTATTCCCGCTTATTCCAAGTAATACAATGTTAGCTTTATCAGAAAAAAAATTGAACTTTTTTTTTGGGAGGATTGATTATTGAGATGAAGAGAGTGTGTGTGCAAAATTTGGGGTCATACAAATACCACAAACATGGTTTTCTAGAAGTGGTGTTTCATTATACTATGATAAAACTGTTGCATTGGATCATTGCTCTCTCTATATATATATATGTTACTGTTTTTGCTGTAATTTGCCCTTTTTATTTTATTTTTTGCATTCTTAAAGAGGCATATGATGTTACTGATTGGTTTGATAAGGAGGCTGTGGGGTAACAACTCTTGCCTTGGAGGAGTCTAATTCTCCTTTCTAGGCCTTCCAGTTATCTTATCCTTCTATTACCACCCCTTTTCCTTATTCAATCGCAACCCCTCCCTTATGTTTCTATCTTCTTTCCTTGATACTTTCCATCTTCCCTTCCCTTTTCTTTTCATCATCATATATTCTTTAGTCCCACTTGATGTGTATTTTCCCTCACCTTTGCTGTCAGAATTTTTTCCCTTACAAAATAATGGGCGCTGTTAAGAAGAAATATATGTTACAGTTTATGAGAGACTGTGTCTCCCTTTTACCAGAAACTTTTTGAAATAAAACATCTTGTACTTATTGGCTTCAGTGTGATAACTCGGGAACTGGTAATAATGCTTGTATATGTGTATTTGTTGCATTCATGCTTTGTTTATAAGTAATGGACCTCTGCTTGACACTCTTACCTAGTACAATAGTTCTTTTTAAGTTCAAAACCTACTTTATCCGTTATACCACTAATCTATAGCTTATATTCATTTCTTATTGCTTTTCATTCTCATTTTTGGGGAAGTGCCATGATAATGAGAATTTCATATATTTTTTTTCTGATTAGGAGGCTGTTGGCAGTTCTTCCCTGTTTGGATATCCAAATGCTCGGGTGATTTTATTTAAATACTGCATCTTGCTTAGTACATGATTTTTTAATATTTTTAAATTGTATGCAGAAGGAGATGGATCTAAAATATATGTGAGTTGCATTGCTTTTCGTGATCCTGTTAGTGAGGATATTGCTGAAGCCTATCGCATTCCACCTAATTCTTTTGCCGACAAATGTATCTGTCTTGTTTCACGTTCTCCAAGTTTTCATGTTCTTCGCGATGCGGTGGAGGAATTGTTCAATCTCTGCTTTTCTCCATCTGGCAGTAGGTAAATCACTTGAAATTTTATAATGTTTTGGCTTCTAGAAACCAGGGAAATGCTCATGTGTTAGCATTTCCCTACATTAATTTCATTGCTCACATAACTGGCATTGTACTATTATTTTCATGGACATTATTCCTGAAGTTAGGTTTTGTTAAGTTAAACAGTACTTTGCGGACTCCAAAATGTTTAATTGTTGTCGTGAAATTGAGAAAATTCAAGATGTGCAATTACATGAAGAAATTTATATTGCATTGATCACTTAGGGCAAAGTCTGTTATTATTAGTGTTTTGTATGCTTCTTTGCATTGCTTATAGCCATACGGATAATAAGAACAAGTAACATTTATTGATATCAGTCTCGGGGTTTCAAAAAATGCTAGCGGCTGGCCTAGCGCCTGGTGCCCAACGCCTATGTGAGCATCCAGAACCTAGGGTGCCTTGTAGTGAAAATCCTTCAGATATAATGCATATATGTGCTGTCCAAATGCACATATATGCTATGCGTATATTTGTATTAATTTTGCAAATTTTTGCATATATATGTGTTTTAACAATTTTTTTTCATATATATATATATATATATATATATATATATATATATATATATTATATGCTGTATTATAAATAAGCATGTTCAAAACTTAATCATAGAGAATTTTGTCAAAAACTTAAAAAAAGTCCACAATATATCGCTAGTATTATTCTCCAACTCTCCATATTCCATAATCACATGGACTCCAAGTCTTCAACAAACTTACAAAGGTATAAAACCAATAGTCCAAAAAGGCAAAAATTCCAAAATCAAAATGTCCAAACCAAGATAGTGCAATAAAGATGGAATACAAAAGAAGAGAGGACATTTTCATTTCTCCAATCATCATCAGTCATGATCAGAATCAATATTCTCACTTGCATCTCCATCTTAATCGATGCGTCATCATCAGAATCGTCACCCTCTTCAACATGTCTTCTTCCTCAGTTTCTTTTGAATCTGCCTCCTCCTCTTCTATCTCCCTTGCCCTCTGTGAAGTGCCGGCAGTAGTTGTTCCTCGACCATATACTCTCCCCAGGTAAGGCCTCGTCAGTACCAGGTTTTTTAACTAATCACTCAGAAGCCTTCTTCTTGTCTTTCGAAGCGATAGAATCCCTCTTTTGCTTGTTGAACATCTCCTTGAGCCTTTGATCATCTTTGACAAATTCCAAATGATTGAGTCTCCTTTCCTCACGCCTATTTATTCTCTTGGCATGCACCTTTAAGAAAAAGTACATGAGTACTATTTCTAATTGAGCCAGCTGTCAGTAATGCATTATATGTTTATATCTTCTATAATAGAAAGATGAACTTATAAATAAGAAAAAACAACATAAAGTACTATATCAAATGAACTCAAATTCTGGTCACAAAGAAGAGCTAGGTGTTGAACTCAAGACCCGATTAGCCATCTTCTGGAGTTTTAGAGCGCTACTAACATGCTGGCTCCACCACTGGGGTGCAATTTGAGTGCAACTTTTATAATTAATTTAAGTATTCAATATTATCATAAAGAATTTTAGCAAATTTAAAATACAGCATTAGTTATTAGGAACTTGAAAGACAATTTTCAAACAAAATATGTTACCTGGATCTGATTTGCTCCTCTGTCTTAGTGCTAGTTCTTTCCCAAACGACTTCAAAGCACACTTATACAAAATGAGTTCTTCAGTTGATATCTTATGTGCGATTTCTGAATTGGGAACTAATCTCTCAAAGCACTCACGAAAGCCATCTATAATTGTATTATTTTTTTGTTTTTTTTGGAAAATGGTTAACTTTATCGATATAAATAATAGTAATACAACATCATAAAAATATTAAGGGAGGCAGCTCACATGTCGGGTGCTTAGACTACGAATTAAAACAAAATAAAAGGAAAAAAGGAGAGAATCTTAGGGAGAGTTACAAGAAATACAGTAGCTCGTGAAGGGAGCGCACAAAATTAAAACAACTTATGTTTTAATTCTTATTTATTTTTTAAAGGAAGTTATTATTGACCAGAAATATACAGTTGTTTTGCTTGCAGTTTAACCTTTTGTGTTCTTCTTTTATGCTTTACTACCCTGTTAACTTTCAGCAAGCCCATATGGGATGTTATAGCACATATGGTGTTGAATGTTCCCTTTCCTACCCCTGGAAAGGATCGCGTGTTGTTTGCAGTTGAGAGCTATCTCCTTTCTGTGGAGGTTCCCCCAAAGGATGGGCTTCCACATGCTGATGTATGTAGCCTTTATTCTTTTTGTGGTAGCAGTTCCTGCATTCTTGCATTTCTGAGGACTTTCTCATTTGAAAATATTTTGTTAGTCATGAAATGTTGTTTGTGTGGATGTTGTGGCACGTTGTTCATTGACTATTCTTTCTCCTTGCATGCAGATATCATTTCAGCCTTTGGTGCAGTGTCTTGATGTTGATAACTTACTACAACTATTTACTGCTGTGTTGCTTGAAAGGCGAATTTTACTTAGGGCAAACAAGTACCACTCAACTTCTGAGCATTTTGATCTTTTCTCTACTGTATCTGGCATGTGGATGTGTTACTTATGTTAATTGGTTATAATTAAGTCAAAGAGAATTGGGGGCATAGTTTATTATTACTAAATCAGTTTGGTTTTTCTGCACAAATATTGTACCCTAGAAATGTAATTGGTGTATTTTATTCCTTACATACAACTCATTCTTTTTCCATGTGTTTATAGTTTTTTATGAGTCTGCTTTGGGTCTACGATTTGTTAGCAGGACCATCAACATGTTATATTGCTTTCCGTTTCGCTTCTATTTCTATTTTCACTGTCTTTTCACTGTCCCGTTTATAATTTGTATAATGAAGAGGAGTTACTTTCAATCAGTCCGATTATTTGATTACTTACGCAATTCTCTTGATATTTTTATGTTGCCATGGATCATCATCATTATCCAAGCCGTATTCCACCTGGGGTCGGTTCCTTCATTTTACTCCATCTAGGACCCTACCCTTAGTATGACCATATCCATGTCCTTTGGGGCATTCTTTCCATAGCCTTCCACTTGAACTAGGTCGCCCTTCTTAATCGGTGTTGTTCTAGGTCAATGCTGCACATGACCTCACCACCGAAGTCCACTTTTCTTTATTTTAGTGCCTATTGGAGCTACCTCTAAGTTCCCTCGATGCATTCATGATGAAATCTATCATTTCTTGTCTTGCCAGTCATCCATCTCAACATCTTCATCTTATTTACACTCATTCTATGGATATATTGTTTCTTGATGGCCGAATATTCAGTCCCATACAGCATGACTGGTCCTATAGCCGTTCTATAGAGCTCCCTTTCAGTTTCATTGGTATGTGACAATCGTATAAGACTCCAGAGGCACATCATAATTTTGTCCACCTAGCTCTGGTTTTAGGAGCAATGTCTTCCTCACTCTCTCCTTTCTCATGGATTATGCCATGGATATTAGTTTTTTTTTTAGCCTGTTTAGGTATGTTGGAGGATCTGTTACATTTGGTTCCAAAAATATGGAGTGTATGGAGGCCTTGCTCTAGGTGCCTACAATTAAAAACTTTCCTTATACAACTCAAAATTACAAATCATAAACTCAAATTACAGCCACATGTAACCTTCATAGTCCTGAAAATAACGATTACATTTACTCCAAAAGACATGTAAATGACTTTAACTTGATCCAAAGACAACGCCTACTCAAAGTAAGACTATAAAGATTGAGTAAACTCACATAAACATGACACTTAATACTTGGGACTGCTCATTACATAAATGCCCACAAATTGCACACTTGAACTACATAAATTTTAGATACATGCCAAACTCTGTTGTGATTTGTGGCCTTTAAAGCCTGTGAGAGCATGTGAATATAATAAATGATAATGAATTGTACGCTTCAGTGGGAGTGTTGGTTGATTGTATCAGGTTTAGGCTGTCTATGGTCCGGGTCATGTCCAAAACCATTTACCTTGGGCAAAGGTACTAATGTTGAGGGTTTTTAGAGAGTCATACCTTGTTGAGGTCAGGGAGATGCCCAAGGATGGCTTGTAGGTTAAGAGGGATTCGTGGTCTCTAGTTTGTGGATTTAGGCTTGTGAGAGCAAGGCTAAATCCTCAACAAAACTTTTGCACAACACATACATATGACAATTGCATTTATGGAAAGAATTCTCATAGAGGAATACGTGTAAATGTGCGTGGAGGGAGCCCCCCGTGCACTATAATGATACGTGCATTTGACTTGCTCTTAGGGGGGAATCTGTAGTCCACGTATTGGCATTGTGGTTCCACTATTTATTGGCCAGCTTTGACAACCAATCATGAGCTCTTGCACATGATTGCAGGTCATGGGTCTTGTTGGGTTGTTTTGAGAAGATATTTGTGGATCACAGTTTCTGGCTTTGGTGGAGTGCTTTGACAATCACTTTTTTTGATCCATTAGTACCGATCCACTTCGAAATGTATTTCTAATGCTTATGAGATAGCTTTTTTAAGAACCTCAAAAATATTATTTTTTCAGCTTGAATTATGATGATATGTTTTTTTAGAAAATTTTCAAGAATTTATTTTCTGTTGTGAAAAACTTGGAAAGGGCAAAGTTAATATTTTACTACTTAGTAGGGGTTTGATTTTTATGTGGGATCCATGTGGGGGGCTAAGGGCCCAGCTTTCATACATGGCTAGGCCACATATGGTGGGAAGTGGGGCCCACAAGGGCTTGATGTCCCACACACACAATGGGATGCCCCTATTAAAATTTGTCGTAGTTTGATCAGAAACTATTAAATTTTTATTTGTTTAAAGAGTCCTAATTGCATTCGGTGTTCTATTTGGATTTAGATTCCTACTTGGACTAAGAGTCCTAGTTTGATCAAAAGTCGTAATAAAATATTATTTGTTTAAAGAGTCCTAAAAATATTGGGTGTCTTATTTGGATTAGGATTCCTACTTCGATCTGAATTAAATTAACATATAAGTCTATTTTTTACTAGAAGTGGATATGGGTCAAAAGATTTTGAAATAAGGTTCCTAAAAATCTCTCTAAATCATGATGGCTGATTTAGGGATGGATGACTTAGATTGGTTCTCTCTTTCACCTCATAGTTTGCTTGAGTATATTTCAGATAATATTGAATCTCGATCTGAGTGGAGCACTCTAGGGCTCTCGATCTGAGTGGAGCACTCTAGGGCCCTTAAAGCTTGTATAAGGAGGGGGACCTCCTTCATTATATATACACATACTCTTCAGCCCCTCTCTTCTCTCCCTTCTCCACGCCATTTCTCTCTCTCTGTAGCTCCCTCCCCTCTCAAGGTGGCATGCTACCGCCATAATAACATTAGGGTGGCACACACCACCCAAAGGAGAAGGACAGAGAAGGGGGCACACCTTAGGTCGAGGGTGCCACTCAGTGGCATTTGCCAAGGATTGAAAAGGGTCTATGAAACCCTAATTGCGACATTTTAGCCCTTTATTTTTTATACAGGTCCATTGCTTGGTGGCCATTTTTTGTTTGAGAGACCCAGTTTATCGGTACTCTTGACTCTTACAGATGTACACTTCTCTTTTAATACAAACTGTTAACCTCCTCAAAAAAAAAAAAAGAATCCCTAATCGTGACCCATGTTCTTAGCCCCATAGATTTCAGACACGGGTGTTTCAAAGGTGTTCCCAGTTTAAAGTGGTGGATTCAATAGGTGCTAAGGATCAAGTGTGCCATCAGTCAGGTGATTAGGTGTGGGGTGCCCCAAGTCCTAAGGGGGGTAGACCTAGGCAATCTTTCAATAAATCTTCCTAATTAATTACTATTTGTTTCCTAAGTTATAAGTTCGACTTCATTTTTTAATAAAGATTTTTTTTGGGGCAATAAGATTTAAAGATCTTAGACTGTAGTAGTTTTATTTTTGCATTGTATTGTGCCAATTGCAAGTAGAATCTCCAAATATTAATAAAGAAAATAACAAATTTTTTGAATTTATATGCTGGAGTGCTAGTTAGCCACACCTTTCAAACTCAACCTCAACCTCCAGATACAACTCAACAAACCAAATCATCATCATCATAGCCTTTCTCAATTAATTGGAGTTGGCTACATGAATTCTGGTCCGTCATTATGCTCTTTAAAGGTCATCCTTAGTGAGGCCATAAGTCTCCATATCTTTCCGAACTACTTCCAACCATGTGCTTTTGGGCCTACTCCTTGCCTTTTTAAGTCCTCCCACACCTTCAAACAGGGTTGGCACCACTCATGGCCAACCCACCTAAGTCTACTCTCTCTCATCTTATCACCTATTGGTGCCACACCTAAATTCTCATGAATGGATTCATTTCAAATTCCATCCAAGTGTGTCCACTTAATCTAATAGCATAGGAAGCCAATTAAATTACTCAATTCAGACGGATCTCCTCCAAGTATTTGTGCACACCTTTTGTTATGATCACTCCTGATAGTGCAAGATGACTGATCAAATTTAAGCACAACTAGGAAGCATGGAGTATAATACTTAAAACATACAAAGAGGGTGCTAAGATCTCCAAGAAAACTCAATAATGGACTGGCTAGTGAGCCAAGTGTGGAGTTAGAGAGAGATGATGGTTATATGAAACAAGTGAGATATATTGTGTAGAGAAGCCAAATTGGAGATCAGTGAATGGGAATAATTAAAGTGGAGACTAGTGAGAGATATATATTGTGTGGGCATGGAAAGAATTAAGCTAGTGCATGGGATAATTTTGGCTGAGTGAGGGCTAGTAAAATGGCTTTCTTTGTATAATAAAGGGCATTTTTGCTCACTAATACAATATGAAAAATATCAGCAAAGTGAAACTAAGGAAACTTAATCAAAACTATGCCAAATTAAGATATGATGGTCTAGGCAAGTAGGCAACTCAATCTAGCATGAAGGGGTTAAGATAAATCAAATCTAAGGAAGGAAATATACGTTATTACCTTTCTTTTGGGAATGATTTACAACAAGAAAGAAATACCAAATGTTAGATATGATGCCCTCCATGACTCCTTCAAACTAGCTTCAAAGGAGGTATCTCTTTGGCTCTCTCTCTCTCTCTCTCTCTTTTCTCTCACAAAGTGTACAACTCTAAGTCAATAGAGAAGGGGGGCATTCCACTCTAGAAGGGTTAGTTTTCTCTCTTACAAAAGTGAAGAATGAATTAAGGTTTGGTTGTCTTATGGAGAGGTTCAAGTGTGGTGACCTTTTTTAATTAAACTTGAGCTATTGATTTGATCATACAAAGGGTTAACGAGGGCATATGATTGCAGCCTTACAACACATCCAATGGCTATCATATGGATGGTTGTGATGTAGCCTTATCGCCTCAAAACATTATCGAATTTCCAGATTTCCCTTCCATTAAAATTGAAATTTTAAATAAATTTCAAAACTTAAGTTTAGCTGCCAAGATGTCACGGTTCTCACCATTCGTACTCATGATAAGGGCTTGATACCCTTGAGAGATGAGAAACCCCAAGGGGAGCGTCCCACCTCGTTATTCTCTCTTACTGTTCCAAAACATATGAATTTAAAACAGGGTTTTAATCTTGAAGTGTCATTGTCTACACACTTATTGCCAGATTTCACACACTTGTATTGTAGATCACACACTCAGTGTCATAGCTCACACGCATCTGCAATTAAATACCAACACATCAATAAAAGCTTTTGGATCTAAAAACCTAGTGGAAATGATGCACAAAATTGGAAAAATATCTAGATATTTTATGGCACACATGTGAACACACACATACACCGACATTGTAAAACTCAATTAGACATAACAATTAAGTGCCACAGCCAAACATCCAACTAGGCACTGCCACCTCATGTAGGCCCACATCACATCCACGTCATCCACATGGAGTGATGTGGCAGCCATGTGGAGGCCACGTGGCACAAATTGGCCACTTTTGGGATTTGGTTGAATAAAGTTTAAAACTCATTTTTCTCATATAAAAAATTCATAAAAACTCTAAAAAATTACCAAAAATAATTTTCAGTTGTACTCCACTAATTGAACCAATTTGGCATCTACAAAAAATGTAAACAGGGAAATTAGGATACTTTAGGAAATGTAGTTAGGCACTAGGGCATTCCACTGAGTTTGATCTGGAACCTACTTGAATGATGAGTTTCAAGAAGCGAAAAAGTATCCTCTAAAAACTGATGATGGTCAGTCATTATGACATGTAAACAAATCTGCTGTCTGATTCATTAGAAAAAAAAAAAAAAATCTTCTATGCAGTCATGTATTAAAATATGATAAAGTTATAGCTCTTCTACACAACATCTTCATCATTATCGTCAGAGACTTATCCTAACTATTTGGGGTTGGCTCTTCGCAACAATTAGAGTTATAGCTCTTCTCAACAACATCTATATGATGAAAAAGCTGTTAACCACAATAGGATTCATCATTTCATGAAAGACTCAGTTTCAAGCAATCTAGATGAACCTTGGGTTGTAGTATCATTAAAAGGATTGGATAAGATATCTGTATACCAATTTCTAGTTTTATCATATTGCCTTCTATCCTTTTTCTTTCATAATTTCCGTACAATGAGTTGTACACATTTTTTGTTTTGGTGCTTTCTACTTAACAATCAAGGTTTGTGCAGATATTCGCTGCTAACTCTTGTTTCAGAGGCTATATGTCACTTAATATATCCGTTTAGGTGGCAGGTTAGTGCTTCCTTATTACATTTGCCATTGAGTAAATATTGAGTAACACCTGAGCATCTCTGTACTGGCATTTTCTATTTTTATTCTTCTTAATCGTCCATGGTACACTAAATGAAAAGCAACAATTAAACATTTGTTTACTGAGGGTATTGATGACTTTGTTTCGTTGTGTTTCTATGGCTGTTTTTGGTTCTAATTGGAGCTTTTGTTGCATTGAAGCATGTCTATATTCCACTTCTGTTTTTTAGTGGAGTGGACTATATTGATGCCCCTACGCCTTACATGATGGGACTTCATTCAGGAGTTGACACATCTGGTCTTGCTATGGATGGTGTAAGTTGTAGACATGTCATGTAATCTGCTTTTTTTTTTTTCTCTTCCCTCTACAAATGAAAATTTTTGTATATGCTTGTGTAAAATTTTATTTTTAGTTGGAATGGGCACTTATGACTACTTGATAGTCTTCTGGAATTAGGAGCGTGTTTCTGGTGTACTTCGAGTTCTTGCAACAAACTAAAATGATGCAACCTGACTTTGCTGTCCATGCTCAGATAAAATGATGCGGTTGTCTCTTTCTACTTGTATTATCACATGTATTAAACTCTCAGGGTTTAGTTATTCAATTCTTTCTTGAATATTTTATTCTAGATTATGTACTTATTGCTACTGTTTATGCACATTACTTTTGTGCCAAAATCCTTCCATTAATTCTTTCATAACTTCCTGAAAATGTAAGTCATTTGTTGGTAGGTAAGCTTGGAAAGGGTATTAATATAGTGCACCGATATTTATATCGCAGAAAGGATACCCTCTGCTGCATATTGCTGTTGTTGTTTAGTTCTAAATTGATTTCTTCAGCTATGGTGCAAAATTGTTTTTCTGTGTCTGCCATGGTAAAAAAAAAAAACTGTTAGCTAAGGTTCTTGCATTCCAAAAGATAGGTAATTTATGGCTCTCTGTGTACCAGCAAAGCTTGGTGCATGTGCTGGCAGTTTGACAAGATTTTCAAGCGTAAATTGTTCGAATATATTATAATTAGAGAGCATAAACTTTAACCTTTGAAATCCTTTTCCTTGTGATCTAGGTTATCTCGCTGGAGAATCTAGGTTGAAGATGCAATAGTTTCAATTTCATACGTTCCATAACTATTTAGTAAAATTATGGTCTGCAAGTACTTGAGCTCCTGATTGCCATGTTTCTGTGGTATCACAAGGTTTGATCGTGAGAGATACATTCTCTAGCACCTGGGATCTCAAGATGCAGCAACACCTATGATGCCGGAAATTTTTGACATGTTCATCATCAAATCTTTCCTTCTTAATTTCTAGTTCGGTCTTTATATTGTGATTCTATGATTCTCTTGTGATATGAGCTAGATTCTTGTGGTCGACCTCTTAGGGAATCCAATAATGGTGGTCAAATTTGTTAGTTCTTTTTCTATGGTTGATTTTCGACCTTTCAGTTAATGGTTGGCAGGCATGTGTTTTGGCCCTTGAGGATTCCCTTGTATGAGGACTAATGGGGCTGCATGCTGTAGACGAGGCCACTAGAATCCATTTGCCAGTGATTTAAATTTTGAGAAAGTGAAAATTTCCAAGGGGACGGAAAAAAAACCAGAGAAAAAAAGGAAAAAAAAAAGGCAATATAGAAATATGAAAGTTCCCTATCAATGGCTCACTGTCCTTGGCTAGAACTCTTCTAGCCCATGGAATTGGAGAATGGTCCAAACATACCACTTATTTCCTTCCGGCTTCTTGTGATTGTGGAGTTGAAGTAGGCAGTTGTCTTGCAGTACACTACAGTGACCGTGTTCAAGGCTTCAGACGCATTTTTTGCCCAAGTTCACTGCATATAGAGGTCAAAAAATATTTCCCAAAAAGTCTCACTAATGGTAATGCTGACATCAGAGCAAAAAGTACTAGTATCCATTCATATGTTTGCAGGGATTATTCTTCTATAATGACCATCCTTTGACCCACCCTCCTCATTTGAAACTGTGTGTGTGCAATCTTCCTAATCAAGACTGGATACCTATATAGTTTGGAATATTCACCGTGTGAAGTTGTCCCTTGATTGTCGATCATATATATATATGATGTAGCTGGGCTGTGACCTTCCAACTAATGGATGCCTTTGGAGCTTCCTACCTTCAATACACCCGTGAATTTCTCCAATGCTTCTGAAAGTCCACAGACCTTATCCATAGTTGTTTTCTAAAGAGAAAGAAAAGAACTGGAATTAGGATAAGAGCTAGGGCTTAATTGGTTAGCGCTTGATGATTTGTAACACTACGTCCTAGGCTCAATTCCTACCAAGGGTAGGTTAAAAAAAAAAGTAGTAGAAACTGGAAATCTAGGGAAATGGAACGTTGGAAGAAATCTTGAATTTGTTGAAGAATGAAACATAATGACCGAAAATGATGGATTTCGATCGTTTAGGCATAAGCACTAGATTTGGGTTGGGATGAGGTGAAGGCTTCATTTTACCATATAATTTATATGTTTGTAGTTGGTCCAATTTGAAAATAAGTGGAATATTCTTGGTCCAAACTTTGCATCACAAATATGTTAGGTTTGCCAATAAGGGACTCTTCAGATGGCTCAGCCTCTTCTGCCAAAGTAGCTGATGCTGAAGAATTGGTGCAGAATTTTCTTTTCTTATGTTCACTAGTCGATTTTAAAGTCATTGACTTCATTAGCCTAAGTGAAGTTAATAGTTGTCGCCAATATCTCACATAACATCATCTAACCAGAATGACTCGGAAGTTTTCATGTCTCCAGATGGAAATGTAGATTTCTGGATAACAATACAATGTGGACTGTGTTAGAAAATTCTGCGGAAGTTGCCCATTCACATATTCCATTTGTCTAACATCAAATACTTTATTACTTTCCAAAACATTATCTGCCGTCAAACATAACTTCCCCTTCTTGCCCTTATGATTGAGCCATGGGCAGCCTATTTTACTTGAAGCTAGCAGTTTCCTTCTTGGATATAGATTATAAAATGTCTGAGGATAAATGTTCCTGGGAGTTTCAACTGCAACAAAAATATTGTTGGTGCTTTCCTTGTTGGCGGTTTCAACTGCAAAATATTTTCATTGTGATATGATAGTCTATTGACTGTTTTTATCCCTTTCTAGCTGCCATTTTTTAACGGAGTTACATTTGGAGATAAATCACAACATTTATATTTGCTATTTTGTTGAATATGATCTTCTGAATCTTTCGTATGGTTGAATCAAAGTTTTTCCTTGACTATGGGCTGTAGGTAGTTGTTGTAGATCTTGATTATAATCGTATCACAACAACTGAGGACATACCCCCAATACCAGAGCCCGAACTAAGCTCGTTACGTGGAGATATCATGAAGCTATTGTATCCAAATGTTGTGGAGTTGGATTGGATGCAGAATAGTTCCGGAAGTTTTTCTGGGCCATTCCGTAGAAACAGTCACAAGTCATGGGGTCCTGACCATGATGTGGAGCTCAGGTGATACTTTATGACTAATGCTTTTGAGTTGTCAATCTCGTTGATTTTAAACTTCTTATGTCACTGTTCCCGCCTTACTCTCTTAGGTAATAATACATAAAAACTGTGTTAGTGTTATTCTCCAGGACTTATGAGTAAATTATTAATTTAATTAGTGTGGCATTAATGCTGTCAAAAACTCTCATCTCTTGCGATGTAATTGGTGCCTTAATATGAGTGATTGACCTTGTTTTATCAATCCAGTGAATCTATACATGAGGAAATAAATGCAGCTTGGGTAGTTTCAATAAACTTGCCTCCTCTTGTATTGCTTGGTGATTCACTAGTTGGTTGTTAGTTGTAGGAATTTTGGTTCTTGGAGTGGTTACTCCACTCAATGTTTTCAAAAGTGCTAGGCAGCCACTTCATGTTTGGGAAACCTGAATGGCAATTTATATGAAGAGAGAGAATGCCTTTCTTTAATAGCCAAATAAGAGAAATAGCAAAACGGGACTTTAGTAGTAGTAGTGTGCGAGGTTTTTTCGATTAGTAAAACTTTCATCCCTCGATCACAACTGAACAGGATACAAAATATTTGATTAATTTCCTTGTAGTTTTATCTTAGCCATTCTATAAAAATTCACACTAGCACTGCTGCACTATAACAATATAAGGGGATATATCAATGTAATAATAGAAGTGGCATGAAACGGAACCCACTAAAAAGTATGCATCATAGAAATTCAGCAATTAGATACAGAAACATTCAACGAACAAAGAACAGGTACATGCTCTTACATACAATGTACACAAGTGCATGAAGAAACACATGGATGGATACATAGAGTGTAGAATATGATCTAGATAACCATATTGGGTATGTCAAATCAAGCAATGCTCTAAGATTCTATGATGTGGGTGGGGCGGACTAGTGGCCTGGTACCTAGGTTGAGGCTCTAGGTGCCCACTTAGGTGCCAGCCGGAGGCACGCCTTCCTAAGGCAGGGTGCATTGGCTTAGGTGGGCAGCTGAGGCCGGTCATCTGTAGGTACCTCCTAGGCGCCTATTGGATCTGTTTTTTAGGATATTGATTCCTCTCTTGAACTCTGCATCTTAAATTCTGTAGTAGAATCCTGCGTGTAATGTGATTTCATCTTTAGATTAAATCATGTTTTTTTCTCAACAGAACCATGATTTTGGGACTGTGGTATCATTTGTTTTATTTGATCCCTTTTCAAGGCTTGATGTAGAAATGTGGCTCGCAAGGTATAAATCTATTTCTTGAAGAATAGGCTATAAAAAATCGTGTAATTTTGCTTTTGGGAATAAAATCTTATAGTGTTTAAATTTCTGAACTCTCATCTTGTGTTAACTAATGACTTGAGGATAATCTTTGTACTTCATCAGTACACGAATTGGATGCTGGGCTTCCTGGTTAGCATATTGACCATACGGGTTTGCTTTGATAGTGTATGGAACCATGTACAAGTTACAAGACTTGAAAAATTTCTCTTACAAGATGAATTACGGCCCTCAAAAAACATCCATACACTTCCAAATCCAAGGATATCAACTCTATTTAGGTCCCTCACAAAAGTCCAACAAAACTATTCAAGGAGATTGAGCATGCACCCCTTAAAACTCAAAGTGCCATAAAATTCAACATTGTACAAAATCTAATACAAAATTACACGTGAATTCCAAAATAGAAATGCACCATAAGACTCAATTTTCACATACAAACTTAATTATACTCAAGTGCTTAATGGATCATTATCATGAAAAGCAAAAAATCTAGCTCATAGTTCCCGGTTTACGACCAAGGTTGTTAACAACATACTTTGGATTGACTACCTGGATGGCACCAAGAGTTTGGCCTATTTCACATCGTCTTAATGGGAAGCAATTAAGCATCATTTAATCTGCCCTTTGTATGGCAATTTTATTGAAGAGAAGCTCAACAAGTTGGACCCAAAAATTGTGTGGAAAACATGGGAGATGGAAGCTCAAGATTTTCTCAATTTGGCGAGAAACCATTTTTCATATGGGAGAGGAAAACATCTTGACATAGTTTCCCCTCAAAATTTCACCAACTAATTTGGATCTAAAAAAGTAGCAGAAAAATCACTCATGTTAAATCTCAAGAATTCTCCATCAAATTCTATCCAAAATTTAATCAATCGACTAGGAATCAAAGGCTCATATTCAAGGATCAAATGGAACTCAGAATCTCATGAAACAAGAAGGTAAGGGGCTATGGTGTCTTGTTGGAAATGGAGATTTGCAGCCACCAATAGTTCCAAGGATGCATGGCTTGATGATGAATTTTCCAAAATTGAATCATTATGGAGCTAGGGTTCTACCTCCAAGCTTAAGATGAAGCTTTAATGGAGCTTCAAACTCACTTTCACTTATTTTCTCAGGCCAAATTCAGACATAAATGAAGCGAGAGAATAACCTTAAGGGGGTGTGTCACACTAGCCAAAAAGTTAGCATATGAGCAACCAAGAGAGCTTTTATGGGCTAGTGTAGAGATGTTTCTAGATGAGTAAATCTTGATTGATATCATCCATGGTATGAGAAACTGCTTGATCCTAGCCAATGAATCACTCATCATGTCATCTTGAAGAGTGGATGATATTCAACTCCATTATCCTCTTAATAAACTCTAAACTCACTCCAAATTTCCATAAATCTTAAACTCAAATTTACATCAAATTCAACTTGCTCTCGTAATTACCCATGCTTACTCAATTTGATACTATATGAGAAAGCATAGGGAGGAGCGTGCCCCTCATGTAATTTTACACCCCTTCTAGAAGCAATTTGAATTTGATAATTGCCTCCAATTCCATGCCACCTTGGTGTGCATGTATGCCAATTACATGTTGCCATATAGACGGTAATGAGCCAAATTCCAAAATGAGTTAGGGTTTCAACCGTAATATCAAATGGTATACCCCGTCTAGAAGATCACCCCATGTGAACATAACCAACCCCCACACATTATACGTATGCTCAAAATAATTTTCCATTTTCTCAAAATTCACTGTTCACAAAATAGCACAACAAATACACAAAAGACGCATCAGTCTCCCCATGGCCTTGATGCCATCACCATGTTATACCCATGTGGTTGTGATGTGGCATCATGTCAGCCCCTACATGGCACCCTCCGGCCCTTTGGTTATCATGTGTGGCACTGGCGATATTCTTGTGAGTCATTTGCTTAGAACAATTTCACAAATCTTCAATATAAGTTCAGAAAAATACAAAAAATTAAAAAATTCCTAAAAATTCTTCAAAGTATATTACATCATATTTACATAGTTTTGTGTCATATTAAAATATTAAAGAGGAAAACTAGGATCCTATGGAGATGAATTGGGCGTCGGAGCGCTCCACTTGGCTAGACTTAGAACTCAAAGTCACCTTGTCAGAGTGACCCAACAAACCGATGACCTACAATCTCTGGTAGCAGCTCATGCTTGGTTTATCAAGGTCAATCCAATATGCGCCCTCGAGGACATGCATCTTATGGATGCAGGGGTCCTCTTCCAGCACATATGCATTTCTCTTGCTAGTAGATATGCTATGGAAGAGTGACTTCTCATTTGCAACTGTTAATATTCAAAAAACTAGCGGGCGGGCACCTAGGCGGGTGCCCAGATACTAGTGTGCCCTAATTTTCTTTCTTTTGGGACACCCTAAGGTGTTTGGGGTGAGATAGAGCGTATGGGCCCTTGTATTGTGAGAGAGAGGTCCTTTCTATAATTAGGCTAGACTGGCTGGACAGGCGTGGCCCCTTAGGCCCAATTATTAATTAGCCTTTTTTAACCTTCCATTTGAACTAACTCACATATCTTAACAGGTGCTGTATTGGGTCTAGGACACATATGGCCAACCCACCTAAGTCTACTCCTTCTCATCTTGTTGCCGATTGGTGCCACACTTAAATTTTCTTGAATGTATTCATTTCAAATTCTATCCCTTCTTGTCTTGCCATTCATTAATCTCAACATCTGCATTCCACTACACTCATTCTATAGGTATAATTGTCTTTTGACTGCCCAACATTCCAACCCAAAGTTAAAAGCTGGTTTCGCCGCTGTCGTAGAGAACTTGCCCTTCAGCTTCATTGGTATGTGGCGATCACATAAAACTCCGGTTGCACATCTCCACTTCGCCTACCCAGCTCTAATTCTATGTGCGACATCTTCCTCAATCTCTCCATTTTCCTGGATTATCGACTCAAGATATTAAAAGTGCGCACTTTTTGGTATTTGTTGGCCATCAAGTTAAAGGTTGTATTTATTACTCTTCTTTTTCTATTTTGTTATTTAAAAAATTAAAGGCAAACAAAAACTTGCTAGCTGTTTCTGGAATGGAGTTGAATGCTTAAATTATTGAATTTCTCATTTATGTTTCTTATTCGCATATTGATGATCGTTTTGTCATTGAATGGCGTATTGAGCAAAATCTGCTCTTGCCAATTATGTACAACATGATATTCTTTTTCTTCAATTCTTTTCAGAAATCTTATTCTTTTTTTTTTTCTTCACTTGATCAGAGAAAATAGCCACAAAGATAACTTCTTATGGAATGGTGACCAATGCATAAGTGTTGTATTTCTCCAGTTGTCTTTCCATTCAGATGATTGATTTGATCTCTGAATGGTGTGCTATTTGTCTCTTTGTGGATGCTATAGAAAATCACTAGCTTCAATAGATTTATGTATTTCTTGAAGCCATGTTGATTTTCTTTTTGTGCATTTTGGTGTGTGTGGTCATTTCATGGCGCTTGGTTGATTGCTACTTTTTGGAGATGACTTTGTTATGTCTGTAAAATGGATAGCACATGGAAGTATTGTATCTCACGATTTTGTACTTCTTTGCAGGTTGATATTCCTTAAATTTTTCGCTTCTATTTTAAGTGGCTATCAGAATTTTATGGTGAGTTCCTCATAAAGTTGAAACTCAGGCACTTACAAATACAATGTTTCTCTATAAATTTCCACCTGTACATTCTGTTGTGTTGACAACATTCTTTTAACAGGAGAATACGGCTGTTAATGTCTTCAACACTCAAGCATTCCTAAAGAAACGATCCCGTTTGACTAGTCAACCGCAAGAACCCATGGTGAATAATCTTATTCTTATCCTGTGGAAGTGCTCTTCATTTTGAGGTCTTATTTTATTCCATGGGATGACACTCAAATGATGGATTATCGCTAAGGAAGGGGGGGGGGGTTCGGGGCATTCGGGGTCGGCTGGTGGCAATGATAGACTCTGAGCAGTAAGGATTGGGCGGATGCCAGCCGTCTCATGGTTCATCAACCACAGCCGATAAGGTGGCTCATAGGATAATGGTACAGGGAGGAACGCCCTTCTCGATTTCGGACATGCCGAACACAGCACGATCGAAACCGGGGGGTTCTATTGATGGGATTCATAGCTCATAATTTTTGTTTTGGAAAATTTCTTCTGACTTTGACATCTACTTCTTTCAATTGTTGGTTGAAGGGGGAAATGTTGTTGAATTTTATATTTCTATTTTTCTACTTCTTAGGCTTCGAATATTCTTTCTTGAACACGTCATGTTTAGTTTGATTGACTTGTTTTACTGTTTCCTATTGATCAACAGATTGTGCAGTTTTTGGATTCACAAGGTTTTATTGATTATATAGAGAGATGTTACAATTCAGATGATTCTGTGACTAATCTTCTTGACAAGTTACAAGATGCACTTGGAAGGGGTCAAAATCCAGCTTCTATCCTTCCCTCTGAATCAATAGAGCCTGAAATAATAACCATTGCAGATCCAGCCCTGGGCATGGCAGGTATTGTTTCTGTTTTGAATAGCATAGTTTGGATTTTGCTGCTGATATTTATAACTAAGTGTTAGTTTACTGGATGCGCTATAAGTTGAAGTTGTTGGTGGAGGTGGCAAAATGTGTTTTTGAAGAAATGACACCATCCCCAAGATGTACCCTTTTGAGCACAAAAATTGGTGAAACCATACAAATATTGGTGGCAGAAACTCGACACCTAACAGCCTGTGCATATAATTGTGCTTTATTTGGTTCTTAGTCTTACACATGCTTCCAAACAGGGCTTAAGTTTTTAGATGATTGATTTATTATATCGAACTTCCTATATCGTTCTGTTTTGAATGTTCTTATAAAGTGATAATATAAGATTTGAATGCATAAATGATGTTATGTTGATCTGTATCGAGTGGTTGTAACTTTTTCATTCACTGTAGGATCTGGTGCTAAATACTGTTATGATAGATTCCCTTCAAATGTAAGAACAGAAGATCAAGAAGAAAAGCGGAAGGCCATTCTTGCTGCAGTTAGTGGAGCTTTAGAATATTCAGGGCGGCATACTCCCAGGTAAGTTGTACTCGTTGAGTTGTTATCCTTATGTCAAGAACTTCAACTTGTACTGGGAAAATCTGTTCTGCATATTAATGTGATTGTGCTTGAAAGAATTGATGTGCCTTTTCCGGTGATTGTTCAGAGTGGATGCTGACATTTGGTTAAAATGTTGTATGCACTGGTTATTTTTGGCGTATTTAAGATCTGGAACTTACAATCTTTGGCCATGGCTGATGATTTATGGATTAAGCATCAACATAGTTTCTTTATAAACTATGGGCAATCCTAGCACTTTTAGACTTGTGTTTTTCTTGAGAGCTGAGTTGCTCCTGTTTTCTTTTTACTCAGCTCCCCGTCTGTTTTAAATGATGCGAAGGGAGAAAGTCTTAGTCCAAGGGAAAGGGCCGTAAGTTTCATAATACCTTGTTATCTGATGCATTTTTGTTTCTAGTGTAGGTCACTGATATGTCTAAACCAGGATGCATAAATTACTATGAATTTGTGCAATTTGCAGGCAGAGAGAGAGCGAATGGTACTTGACATTAAAGTGAAGCTGCAGGTAAAATATAAATCCTTTAGCAGCATAACCATTGGATGTTTATGGCATAGTCCTTGTGTTTCTGAGATGCAATATTCAGCTTTTTCTTTCTACAGATAATTAACCTTCATTTGTTGAAATCTATACCATACCATGAAGAGTGGGTTCTCTGTGTGTGTATGTGCGCGCACGCATTCGCATGCTCGTGTGTGTAAGAGTGGGTTTATTGTCTTTATGATATTGTCATCATTGTATTTTATTCATAGCATTTGAAGTTATTTTCCTACTTAGGCAACTGATTGAGAAGTTTAGGGCGAAGGGAAAGACCTCCACATGGTCTTTATTGATATAGAGAAAGCTTATGATAGAGTACCTCGAGATTTGATTTGGCGGGTGTTAGAAAAGAATGGAGTCTTTAGACCTTACTTCGACTTAGTGAGAGATATGTACAATTAGTGCTAACTAGTGTACGAACAACTAGTGGAGAGACGAGTGAGTTTTCATTGACAATAAGTCTACATCAAGGGTCAGCATTGAGCCCGTGCCTATTTGTCTTAGTTATGGACGACATAATTAAGAAAGAGTCAATCAAGGGTCAAAATGGAGAGATTGAGGAAGATGTTGCATACAAAATTAGAGTTGGGTAGGCAAAGTGGAGATGTGCAACTGGAATTTTATGTGATCGTCGCCTACCAATGAAGCTGAGGGCAAGTTTTATAGGATAGCTGTGACACCAGCTTTGCTCTTTGGGGCAGAATGTTGAGCAGACAAAAATCACTATACCCATAGAATGAGTGTAGCGGGGATGAGGGTGTTGAGATGGCTGAGTGGCTAGACATGAAGGGATAGAATTCAAAATGAATCCATTTGAGAGAATTTAGGTGTGACACCAATAGGCGATAAGATGAGAGGGAGTAGACTTGGGTAGCTGGCCATGTGTGACGCCGACCAAGTACAAGGCCTGTTAAGAAGTGCGAGTTAGGTCAAGTAGAAGGACTGAAAGGAAAAAGGGATAGGCCCAAAAGGACGTGGTTGGAAGTAGTTTGAAAAGAAATGGGGACTTATGGCCTCACTGGGGTATGACTTTTAATAGAGCAGAATGATGGACCGGGATTTGTGTAGCCGACCCCGATTAATTGGAAAAAGGCTATGATGATGATGATGATGATGTATTTTATTCATAGATTGGAAGGTTCAGAGACAAATGTGGAATGAAAATGATTCCTAATGTATCTTATATATGAAATATTCAAATCATGAACAAATATAGATGCGTTTGTTTGTAATGGAACCAATCTCCCCATGGCCAATTGATTCTTATCATCATCATCGGATCCTTATCCCAACTATTTGGGATTGGCTATTGATAGTTATTGAGTATAAAATAGATGGGCTTCTCTTTTTGTATGAGCAGACCGTTGTCTACGCTACAAAAGACACCATATGCTATCTCATGTAGTTTTTAAATTTGATTTTGATTTCATTATAGTTCAAAATAGGACTGTCTATGTAATATAGTCCTATTGGAATGTAAAAGACTTCATCAGTTATATTTTAAAACAAGGCAACCTATCCTACCACTATTAGAAACAAGATCCGAGCCAGCCCTAGCACCATTAGTTATCTCATTAATGCTCCAACAGCCAAGTTATACTTGCCTTTCTTACATGCAAAAGACATTAGAATCATACATGTTGAGTACTTCTTTAACTCCAAATGCTTGCATATGAAAGTTGATTTGTGTTTCAAATACTTCAGTGCTGTGTTCATCAGGTTATTATTTGGGGCACCTATAACCATGAGAAGAAATGTTCTCCAACCGGGTTTCCAAATAGCTGAAATCAAAATCTCTAAATCTTTGAGGTGAGATTTTTGTGCATCTATAACCATCAATACTTTCATTTTAGGTAATTAGGACCCAGAAAAATTGGGATTGAGATTCTATGAAGGTGGAGGCAAGATTCCATATTGATTGAATCACAGTTTCCTACACCTAAGAATTGAGATAGTTGATGTTGTGGATTTTGAATTAGAAAAAAAGAAATAATTAATGAAATCAGGAATCAACAAATATGGAATCAAGGTTCGGTAGAGGTTGAAATTTCCGTAAATGTTGGGATCGAGATTCAAAAAAGTTCTAAATCATGATTCTTAAAATAAGGAATCGAGATTCTTGACTTTAGGGAAGCGGGTTCCATGATGATTCCTCGTCGGAATCGCCGAATCGGAATCTTTAAGTGGAATCATGACCTGGGCAGATTCCAGTAACCATGAGTCAACCCTTTCTTAAGCTGAACCAATGTGGAACTGATTCTCCCCTCTACTCCATCACGAAAACATTATTAAGACCAAAGTGGCTATCAAACCATTGGATGGCCAATTTTATTCACTATGTTTCTAATGATCACTCATGAAGAGGGAACCTAGAATTGGGATCTGTCTTATTTTTAAGTATTCGAAACATTTTATTCTCATGGTCTACAAGTTCAATGTTGAAACAAGCTGTCCTATTCTACTCACTAGTCCTTGTGTTGTAGATCCCGTTGTTTAAATTGGGGAAGCTGATTTTGATCTCATTGGAGTGCCTTAAACAAATTCAACTTGATTGACTAAATTAAAATGTATTATTATGTTTGGTTATGCACCACTAACATTCAATTTACTCCTACTTTAGTCAAGTTTTTTTTCACCTTTGGTTCATTCTTGAAGATGTCCACAACTTGTCAAATTAGTACTTGAATGGTTTGGTGGTGCTATAGCTCGTGTAGCATGTTGTGTAATTCTTTCATTATTCTCGTGCAAAATTTATGAATTGAATTGGCTGTACTGTTGAACAGGGGTTATGGTTACGCCTTCTAAAGCTTGGGGCAACTGATGATCCTCTATCATCATTTGAATATGGCACAATTCTTGGTGAGAACGTATTTTGCTTATCTGAGGTTTCTTTGATTGGCTTTTGTGGATTTTATGCGACAATCAATCTTTTTTTGTAGTTTAACATGGGGCTTGTTTTAGACATTTGAGCTCACTAGTGTTGCTTTGGCAGCTTTGATTGAATCTGATGCGGAAGGAATTGGTGGCAGTGGGTTCGTTGAATGTATCAGAGAACACATGCACTCGGTGTGTATTTATGACATTGCACAAATTGCGGATGACACATTAATATCTTCATTATATTAATAGGTTAGTAATGGTGGCTTTGTTTCGTTCTCAGGGGTGGCTCTGTCGATTAACCGAGGAACAGTTTATTGCGGTAAAGGAATTGGTAAGTGTAGTTTGGCTATAGCATTTGATCTCTTTAACTGTCTACAATCTTAGGTTGCCATTTTGTAGTTGTGCTTTGGGGTGAAATCTGCTTGTGATGTTCAATTAACAATTTTATCTACGTAACTAGTCATCTGTTGACTGGACGACTAGTGCTTTCTGAACTGGTGTTTAAATTAATCAATTTTGTTTAGCTCTTGCATGGCTATTTTTGAAGTATTTTTTCTGTTTGGGTGTTTTGCGATAATTGGGGAATCTCATTTGGTTGTTATTGTCCTTCTGTTCTATTGCATAGCTGAAAACAGCGATTAGTCGTGCTACCTCTCGGAATGACTTGTCAACCATTCGAGATGCATTAGAAGTATCTGCTGAAATATACAAGAAAGACTCTAATAATGTTGCAGACTATGTCCAACGCCATCTTTTCGGTCTTTCAATTTGGGATGAATTGCGGTATGTGCTCATATTAGTTTTGGGTTGTTTATTTTATTGCTTATTATATATTTTTCATATTCTACTAATGGTTTCCTAATTCCTGTATTAATGGACAATTTTGGCTTTTAATGAAGATTGCTTCTAACCTTCCATTATTAATTCTATCAGCTTTTTCTGCATGCTAGTGAATTATATGATATTAAAGTCGTAGCTGTTACATCTGAAAGTTGTGGCCCTATGGGATTCCTGGCGTATACATTCAAAAATTTCATTTTCTTTTATGAACAACTGGGTAATTCTAATCATAATTGCCAAATACAATATAAATTTAAAAATAAAACCCTATTGCAATCTAGGATCTCACACCTACTACCTTAAACATCAAATTTAGTGATAAAGAATGAAATTTAAATACCGTGACTCACATGAAATTTTACTGGCTATAGCTCTAGGTGATGTCTAAAACTCGTAGCCCTGAGCATTTTGAGCACAATCCATAAGGATTTCTATGTGGGGGTTATCCCTCGATGAGGTTGGAGTTGTGACCGGGGTGTTTGGCCAAGGGATTGGATGTGAACCTTGTGTGTGATGGTTGGTCGGAGAGGACAAGGGCCAAAATTCTCACCATTGCCATCACATGGTATGTACACTAGATAGCCGTCCGGAAAGCGAACATTTGGATTGGGGTGTGTATGCACATGTGCTAGAAGGGTCCTGGACTTGTCTTCAGGGAAGGATTTGTAATCCATTGACTAGTATTGTGTCTCCTTCATTTATTGGCTGATTTTAATAGTACAATCATAAATCTCGACGAAGGGCTATGGGGTCATGGGAACTATTGGATTCAGTTTCTAGAAAGGATGGAGTCCTCAGTATATTCATTACATTCTTGACTCTATATATCCAATTCCTGTCAATTCTTCCTACATATGTTTAATTATGTTTTAATTATATTTTAGATAATTCAATTTTAGACTTCTCTGGATATTTTATTTTGTCGAAGAATGATTTTTAAATAGGGAAAAATCGATTTTCTGGATTTATTTTAATAAGAGAGAAAAATAAAATATTTAGTGGCTTTATAAAATTCATTTTAATTTCTTAAAATTTTATTTAAGGTGTTGGAAGCCCAATGGGCTTCATGGGGCCCACCACTAGGGGGATGTGGGGTCCACATGGCCACCCATAGGGTGGGAAGTCTCACCTCTGTTTTTTTTTTTCCCTATTTTTGAGGATTGTGCAATAAACCATCTTCTTGATTGGAAATTTTTTGAAAAGTGTTGTGTAGAGATTTTGATTGATTTCAAATACGAAAGTGTAAGCGAATAATTGAAATTGATTTACACAAAGATAGTATTATCTCTACCTAATATTTGATGGGAATAGTGTGATGGATACTGGGGGATAATGGTTCCACCTGATTCATTTTAATCATGATGACTGATCTAAAGAATGAATGGATGAGATCGCTTCACCTCACAGATCTCCTTGATCAAAAGTTAAGATTGAGTCTCATATTAATGACAAAACCCTACCCTAAAAACCCTATTCTTTATGTTATAGGTACTATCTACGGGGGCCTTATTCTCTACACATTAACTTAGTCTCTCTCTCTCTCTTTGGCCCTTAGGGTTGGCACACCGCTCTCTATTCTCTCTGTCTTTAAGTTAGATTTTAGGACTTTGAGAAACCCTAGGGTGGCACGCCCAGGCCACAACAGTGGCACGACGTAGCTGATCTGTGTTGACTTGTGCTCATGTCTTGAGTGTTGGTCTAGCCCTATCCCATATCATGTTCGCTAGTGGTTCTGCATAGGCTTCCCAAGTTACGAGATGTGTTTGGACCTAGATCCCGTGCGCCATTGATGGAAGAGACCCGGTCTGGGGTGTGCAAAGTCCTTGGGGAAACCTGAGGCTAGGTATGAGGTATGTTCTTTATTTCGTGTTTTCTTCATTCTATTGCAAGTCTTATGTAATTTTCAGATTTATGTTATGAATGAGTTTTTGTTTTGATGGCAAGCAAGTCAGAATCCTTGGCATTCTTGTGGTTTTATTTGGTTCATATATTGGATATGGACACTTGTAAGTGATTCGGGTGTTAATATAAAAGAAAAAGAAAGAAAATTTTAAACCTGTATTCACTTGCCTAGGTCACATAGTCCTACTTTCAGCAACTTACTAAACTGTTTCTATGATTACCTCTGTAGGACATAGCACAATCCAGTTGCATGCTATTGACATTGAGATCCCATACCTGATTACCGAACCAACCGGGCACTCATCCTTAGGTCCTGCTTGAGTCGTCCAATATGGGAATCACCTAGGCAATACCTTCTAACTTGGAACTGGGTCCAAGAGCATATACTGGAGAGCTAGCATTTCTTTTCAACCCTTTTTTTAAACCTCGGGGCATGGCACAAGGTGGTACCACCCTTAAATAAACTGAGCTAGGCTTGCGCTCTCTTAGACTCCCTAGGCAGGGGGTACCACGCTAGGATTAGTCTAGGTGTTGGCATACCACCCGTGAGAGAGAGAGAGAGAGAGAGAGAGAGAGAGAGAGAGAGAGAGAGAGAGAGAGAGAGAGAGAGAGAGTAGTAGTAGTAGTAGTAGTACGGTACGTCGTACGTACGTACGTACGTACGTCGTACGTCGTCGTCGGTCGGTCGGTCGTCGTACCGTACGTACGTACCGTACGTAACCGTAACGTAACCGT